AATTGAAAACTCGTTCTCTTGACATCTTGTAAACATAGGGTGTTACACCCAAGGAAACGAATAGACTTTAATAAATGGGGATGGAACCTAGGCGAATATACCATCTAAGAGAGATATTTGGCACATTCACGCTTCAAGGGGATGTCCCGTCAGCTATAGAAGACTATATGAAAGGTTCCGTGCAGCAGATTAGAGCATCAATTGAGAAGCCAAGCTATTTTGAGCAGATGATTATTGGATAAAATTCCCTACGTAAGGAGAACAATTTATATTTCACCAAATTACGAGGAAAGAGCACATGTACCGGGTAAAGCGGAATAGAAGATCGGTGGCAAGAACCGCGAACTGCACCTTAGTGGGATTTCTTTAACGAATATTTCAGATTGGACTTGCTTTGGCATACAACATTTGATCACTACCTAAATGTTAGCTGGCCAACATGGGATGAACCCACGGGAAATCTACAGAAATTCGTTTAAAATCTGCTCAAAATTTTTCTGGAAATATGTAGCGGCAGTGGGACCTGCAGAGCATCTATAATGAGCAATTCCGAATGGCGCTAAAAGTGTTACTTTCAATGCATATATTCCGCGCTAATTTTGATAAGGCATAATTATGGAATTAGTGAAAGCTGAAACATTAAGCAAAGCACTGTAATTTTAATAAAACCCCTGGATTTTGTAAGAGAAAATAAATATGAGCAACATTTCTGCATCTAAGATCATATGTATGTCTGATCCTTCATGAAGATTTATTTCTAATTTTTGTAACAGCCAAAAACACCAGCTGTTTCCTTTTCATATAAGCAGGTATTTCCTTGAAAGCATGTATTTTTGTATATCTTAAAGTATTCTTTTAGAATGTATTCTTATTATTCTCGAATTAGAATTTATTTTGCTTTGAATGATTTTCAGATATAGGCTTTTCTTAATAATTTATGGCTAATTTTGCAACTCGTGAATTCGACACTAATTGGCTAAAGGAAGAACTTAAGATGCTCTGAAAAATCGGGAAATGTTGGCTGATTGATGAGTGCTGTTCACTTTATGCGATCGCCTCGTGCGTGTAAGGGAGGTCGGAGCACGTGTGAGCAGCTAACTTTATAGCCGGAATTTAGCTCGCAAATGGGGCGCCACCGCGGTGAAACGCTACAAAACCCCTCCGAAGTGCAGCAAGTGTTCTAGGCAAAAGATATGAATATGAAAAGGGCTAAGCATGCAAATAATTGTTGTTTCTCTGAATGAGCACAAAAATTAATGAGCATTCTATTATAAAATTTATATAATATTACAAGAATTGCATTAGTTAAAGTATTTTAGCAATTAGTGTATTTCTTATACGTTTAGATGGATTTTGAAATTCTCAAA